GCTGCGACCGACGTGCGAGGACATGGGCTGGCAATGTTTTTCCACAAGGGAAAAGCCAGAGGTGGATGTAGAAGTGATTTGTATATGAAAAAGGGGTTTAAGTATCCCTGGGATTGTTTGTTCTTACAGAATTGGGAGGATAACAGCATGAGGACTTACGGCACTGCTAAATCCTGCTTTAAATAACAGGAATGCTTTCACACTTGCCATAGTAACAGCAAAATTGCCTGTGGTAAAATTAACTTAGCCTCTGTATACTTTGTGTTATTGCCATTTTAGCACTTGGTATGCCTTTTAACTTTGCCTGTGGCCAGGATATATAATGAAGTCAGAAAGGCTACAGTCTATGAAAGCAGCCCTTGATAGTGGTTGTAGCACATACATGTGAATGGTGGTTTAAAATTGATGCTTGGAAATAAAGTTTTAATTCAGAGCCTGTCTTCATCAGAGAAAACCTGAAAAAATGCCATTTAATCTAAAACACAGGCCACCTTGAGGGATAAATTTACTGCTAACTGTGCATTTTATCACTGAGGCTGTATTTGGATTTTGGAGAGTCACCACAAGCTTTAACAGGGACCTACATGCAGACTTTTCTCCTAAGTGCTTGTTAGAGCTGCCCTGAGTTAACTCTGCTAATAGATCATTGTTCAGAATGTGAACATCAGTGGAAATTGAGTTTTAGAGCAAATGACGGTATTAGGCTGCAGACAGCATGAGTTTCCTAATAAATATATTCATGCGATTGTTGTCGATATGAATATATCACACATTTCAGTAATTTTGAAAGAACTGTGAGGAACTAAGTGACTTTTACAGACTTTTTAAAATAAAGCCTCCCTTTTCTAAGAAAGTATTCCAGCAAGTATTTTCTTTAAAAAACAACCCAACAGTTCCCTTCCCTTTCTGAGTCACGAACGCTAAAAGCAGTAATAGCATATATGATGATAAATGCTTTAGTGGCAAGGAAAATAAAATTGTTTTTTGCAAGTCAGGTTATGTATTTCCATTGTACTTCTAGAAGCCAGAAAACTCAGTCATTGCTTAGTCAATTCATGGAGTTTCTGGAGGCGACGAGGAACTAGAGGAAAGATACCCTTCTCCTTGCTCTGCAGATGCCTGCAGTCGGGAGCTCTCCATAGAGCACCTCTTACCCTCTGTTATTTTGGTAGCAGGGTAGTGTCAGCTCTCGTACTGCCTCCCTAGCACTGAGCCTCTGTAGCAAACCCTCAAGTTGATGCCTCTTGAAGTCTCCTAGAAACCCATTTGCATTATCGGTGGGCTGCACAGGTTTTGGCAGCGGAGCAAAGGGGTTGTCTGCCCCCATCGTTGTCCACGGCCAGGCAGAGGAGAGGCAGACAGTGCCGGAGGGTGGGCACTGAGCTGGGGCAGCTCCTCACCTGAACCAGTCCCTCCGCGCCTGGCCCAAGTGGAGGAGGCTTTTGGGGCCCCAAAGTGCTTACTCACAACTTCATCTGGGTAAATACACATAGCTTTTTGGACCTTTTCGATTAATAATTTTTTTTCTATTTTGAGCAAAATCTTTACAGAATAAAGGGAGTCTAGGGGAGAGCCACACAAATTTCCGGAGGGTCAAGGTGTGGATAGATGAGAGAGGATTAAAAATGGTGAATATTAGTTGCATGGCAAGAGGGAGTTAAGTAACAGTCTGTAAATATTTGTCGTGGTTTAACCTCAGTCAGCAACTGAGCACCCCCCAGCCGCTCGCTCACTCCCCCCACCCAG